AAAAAAAAAAAAACCACATGTGGTGGTGGACAGCTGTCATCCCAGCTACTTGGGAGGCTGAGGCAAGAAAATCACTTGAACCCAGGAAACGGAGGCTGCAGTGAGCTGAGGTCCTGCCACTGTACTCTAGCCTGGGCAACAGAGTGAGACTTGGTCTCAAAAAACAACACAACACAAAACAAAAACACAAAAAAATCTGCTTCTTGATGCAAAAATTAAAGAATCTATTTTATTTTATTCTGTTTTTTTGAGACAAGGTCTTGCTCCATCCCCCAGGCTATATTGCAGTGGCGCAATCCTAGCTTATTGCAGCCGCGACCTCCTGGGTTCAAGCGATTCTCCCACCTCAGCCTCCCAGAATAGCTGGGATGACAGGCGTGCTCCACAAGACTTGACTAATTTGTTAGCTTGTTTTTGGTATAGGTGGAGTCTCACTGTGTTGCCGAGGCTGGTCTCAAACTCTTGGCCTCAAGCAATCCTCCTGGCATGGCCCCCCAAAGTACTGGAATTAGAGGCATTAGCCACCATGCCTGGCTGAAACTTTCATTTTACTCTCTGAGCTTTCTGTTTTCTGAACACTGATAGTATCAAAGCTTATAAAAAGTCCTTGGGAATAAATGAGGCATACAAGAGGCCTTCCCCCCATGTGGAGAGTCTTTCAGGAATTTATGTTTGTTGTGTTTTTTTTATTTTTATTTTTATTTTTTTTAAAGACGGGGTTTCACCATGTTGGTCAGGCTGGTCTTGAACTCCCAACCTCAGGTGATCCGTCTGCCTTGGCCTCCAAAGTGCTTGGATTACAGGCGTGAGCCACCATGCCTGGCCTGTTTGTTGTGTTTAATGTGAAGATTTTTTATTTGTTTTTTTTCTGGAGACAGGCTCCCCAGGCTGGAGTGCAGTGTTGTGATCATGGCTCCTTGCAGCCTGGAACTCCTGGGCTCAAGTGATCCTCCTGCCTCAGTCCTCTATAAGAGCCTGGGACCACACCTGGTTAATTTTTAAATTTTTTTGTAGAGATGGGGTCTTGCTACGTTGCTGAGGCTATTCTTAAACTCCCAGGCTCAAGCAATCTTTCTCCCTCAGTCTCCCAAAGTGCTAGGTTACAGGCATGAATCACTACATCCAGATAAAGATTATTATTATTATTTTTTATTTTTTTGAGATGGAGTTTTGCTCTGTTGGCTATGCTGGAGTGCAGTGGTGTGGTCTTGGCTCACTGTAACCTCTGCCTCCTGGGCTCAAGTAATTCTTCTGCCTCAGCCTCCTGAGTAGCTGGAATTACAGGTGCATGCCACCACACCCAGCTAATTTTTATATTTTTAGTAGAGACAGGGTTTCACCATGTTGGTCAGGCTGGTCTCAAACTCCTGACCTCATTATCTGCCTGCCTTAGCCTTTCAAAGTGCTGGGATTACAGGTGTGAGCCACTGCACCTGGCCCTAAAGATAATTATTTGAGTGTTTGTTTGTTTTCTGAGACAGAGTCTCAGGCTGGGGTGCAGTGGTGCAATCTTAGCTCACTGCAACCTACGCCTCCCGGGTTCAGGCAATTTCCTGCCTTAGCCTCCCAAGTAGCTGGGATAACAGGTGCCCACCACCACGCCCAGCTAATTTTTGTATTTTTAGTAGAAATGGGGTTTCACCATATTGGCCAGGCCTGTCTTGAACGCCTGACCTCAGGTGATCCACCTGCCTCGACCTTTCAAAGTGCTAGGATTAACAGGTGTGAGCCACCGTGCCCGGCCATTTGAGTGTTTTTTGATAGGACCTCCAGTGTGATGACATTTCAGTAGACTCTGTGGTCCTAATCCTATGGGGTCTTTTGTCCTTGGGTTTGCGGCATGTAGGTGATGATGGTTTTCATTTCTCATTTGGACACACAGAGTGATGCCTGCAGTAATTCCTGGAGGAGTGGGGCTCCTGGCGTGGCTCATGGACCTGCTGGGTCTCCTGTGGCTCAGTTTTTGGGGGGTCGGCTGCTGCCATCTAACAGGCGCTTCACAGCAAGTAACACACAGTCTCTCTCCCTCTTCTCATCATGTCAGGACTTCCTCCTACCTGGTATCCAAGCTTAATTTGCCATTAGCCGGGAGCTGATCTGGAATATCCACAACAGCTTTCACAAGCTTTGGGACAGGGCTGAGCAGATCACGTCGAGGGCCATCGACAATGCGGCAGATCTGATATTCGGGAAGGAGCTAAGGCAGGTGACCTTTCAGCTTCTGCAGGGACCAGCGCAGTGGGATGGGAATTCACGCTGGTGAAGGGCTTGGGCAGAAAATGCATTTACTGTAATAACCAGCATCCTGACCTGTTTCACTCCAGAAGGGGCAAAAAGTGGGTCAGGCACATGGGGGGTCATATTTAGAAGAAACGAGGGAGAATTTCGGCCCAGAAATGTGGATTCCTGAGCACGTGTAAATGTTAACCAGTTTCTTTTTTTTTTTTTTTTGAGACAGAGTTTCACTCGTATTGCCCAGGCTGGAGTGCAGTGGCACCGTCTCCACTCACTGTAACCTCCATCTCCTGGGTTCAAGTGATTCTCCTGCTTCAGCCTCCCGAGTAGCTGGGGTTACAGGTGTGCACCACCACGCCCGGCTAATTTTGTATTTTTAGTAGAGAGGGGGTTTCTCTGTGTTGGTCAGGCTGGTCTCAAACTCCTGACCTCAGGTAATCCGCCCACTTGAGCCTCCTAAAATGCTGGGATTACAGGCGTGAGCCACTGCGCCTGGTCTAATGCTCACCAGTTTCTAGTGTGGTAGTTTTCCCACTGTTAGGATGAGACTTTAAAAAAGATCCCAGGCCAGGCGCGGTGGCTCACGCTTGTAATCCCAGCACTTTGGGAGGCTAAGGTGAGTGGATCACTTGAGGTCAGGAGTTCGACACCAGCCTGACCAACATGGTGAAACCTTGTCTCTGCTAAAAAAAATACAAAACTAGCTGGGCGTGGTGGTGTATACCTGTAATCCCAGCTACTCGGGAGGCTGAGGCAGGAGAATTGTTTAAATCTGGGAGGCGGAGGTCGCAGTGAGCCAAGATTGAGCTGTTACACTCCAGCCTGGGCAACAGGAACAAAACTTCATCTCAAAAAATAAATAAACAGAAAAGATCCCTTTGACTTGGGGAACAAGAGACCATGGACTGGCAGTGCTTCCTTTGCTTGAGGGGCAGGGAGACCCCCACTTGGGACTCTGCTCCCCTGAGCAGTGCCCCTAACCTGTGCACACACGTCACTTGGGGGCTGGTCAGGAAGAACGGATGCAGCAGGGCCTGTGGTACAGCCCCAAGGCCATGCTTTCTCCCAGGCTCCCAGGGTTCCCGCAGGCTTCTCTTTGAGCAGCAGGGGCCTAGGAGGGTGGGGTGGTGGGGGGGCACACAGGTTGCTGTGGAGGGCATAGTGTTGAGAGCTGCGCGTCTGTCGCGGGGGATGCCAGACTCAACCACGGGGTGAGCTCCATGTCCTTGAGTGTCTCCTCTCCTGTGTGCTTGCTCCCTCAGTGCCATAGGGTCTGACACGACCCCACTGCCCTCCTTGGCCGCTCTGAACAGCAGCACGTGGGGGTCCCTGAAGCAGGCTCTGAAAGGCCTGTCTGTGGAATTCGCGCTGCTCGCTGACAAGGCTGCACAACAGGTGAGTGGATCGGTCCTCCCAGGCACCTGCTCCAGAGAACACTCTCAGCCCTGGCATGGGGGACTGCCTCCTCCTCAGATGGGCTTCACAGTTCTTTTGTTTTTTTTTTTTGAGACAGAGTCTCACTCTGTCACTGCCCAGGCTGGAGTGCAGTGGCTTGATCTCGGCTCACTGCAACCTCTGCCTCTTGGGTTCAAGCGATTTTCCTGCCTTAGCCTTCTGAGTAGCTGGGATTATAGGTGCCCACCACCACACCTGAGTCATTTTTGTATTTTTAGTAGAGACGAGTTTTCACCGTGATGGCCAGGCTGGTCTCAAACTCCTGACCTAAGGTGATCCACCTGCCTCGACCTCCCACAGTCCTGGGATTGCAGGCGTGAGCCACTGCGCCTGGCTGGCTTCATAGTTCTGAGCCGAGTGAATGAGCAGCTGTGCCCTAGCGGGGAGCTGCCCATCCCCATCTGTTCCTGGTCGCTCCCTAGGAGCGTTTACACTTTCGAGAGGGGGTTTCCAACGACAAAACAGATTGGGCTCTAGTCTTGAGTGTGATTTTGCTGAGGTTGGAGGATAGATTCTGTTTTTGGAAAGATAATCTTGGATTTCCAGGCATACTTCTGGGTGGACCAGATAGTTACCACTTTGCTGTCTGAGTCCACTAGGATTTGGCACTGAGACTTAACTCATCAGAATAATCACGAAGCCCCAGCACCCGGGAGACTCCCACCTCCCGCTCCACATACAACCTCAGGAAGTGCTTCTGCTGCATGGGCAGAAGCTGTTCTTAGAAATCCGCCACGATCTTGGAGTCATTTGGGGTCAGTTTGAAGATAAGGGTTTACTGTCAAACTGAGAGGCTCATCTGGGGGATTTTATGTTAAAAAACTGTTATGTGGCCGGGCATGGCGGCTCACACCTGTCATCCCAGTGCTTTGGGAGGCTGAGGCAGGAGGACTGCTTGAGCCCAGGAGTTTGAGACCGGCCTAGACAACAGAGCAAAATTTCATCTCTATAAAAAATTTAAAAATTGACCTGGCGTGATGGCTCATGCCTGTAATCCCAGCACTTTGGGAGGCCGAGGCATGCAGATCACAAGGTTAGGAGATTGAGACCATCCTGGCCAACGTGGTGAAACCCCCCATCTACTAAAAATATTTTTTAAAAAATTAGCTGGGCATGGTGGTGCATGCTTGTGGTCCTAGCTGCTCGGGAGGCTGAGGCAGGAGAATCACTTGAACCCGGGAGACCGAGATTGCAGTGAGCCGAAATCGTGTCACTGCACTACAGCCTGGGCAACAGTGGGAGACTTTGTCTCAAAAATAAGTAAATAAATAAATTAGGCAGGGGTCGTGGTGCATGCCTGTAGTCCTAGCTACTCAAGCGGCTGAGGTGGGAGGATCACCTGAGTCCAGAAGGCAGAGGCTTCAGTGAGCCTTGATGGTGCCACTGCACTTCAGCCTGGGCGACAGAGTGAGACCCTGTCTCAAAAACAAAAAGCCTCCATAGGTGTGAAGGTGAGAGCTTGCTGCCTAGTTTCTATTTCTTGGGGAAGTGGCCTCCAGGCTACTCATACTAGTTTTGAAGTTAAGTGATCGGAGTACCCGTGAGGCTGTGCCCCCCACCGAGCCCCAGAGCTCCTGAATGGCTTGGTGAGTTGTGAACCCACCTACTGTGGAGTTGGGGCTTTTCAAGTTGGAAACGGGGCACTCAGGTGCCTGTGACGTTTTTCATGCTGAAGAGGAAATTTGTCTTTGCTGGTGTGGAAAGTCCTAGGTTTTCTTCCTTTTCCATCCGCGTGCCTGTGTGTTCCCTTTAGAAATGGAGGGAGGGCACTCTTGGTGTCTGTGGATTGGGCCTGTGTCCATGCCATCTCCAGATCTGTGTGCCCACTCTGCCCAGGTGAAGAGGACCGAGAACGTGGGGCTGGGGGCTTGTCAGGATAGAGGCAGAGGAGCTCAGGGCCGCCTGCCCTTGCATTGTGTGTCTGTGTCTTGACCGTGCTCAAGCCACTTTGGTCTCTGAGGTTCAGTTTCTCCATCAATTAAATACAAGGGCGGTTGAACTAGATTATTAAAAGAGCCATGTCTTTTATTTTTTTGAGATAAAATCTCACTCTGTCCCCCACGCTGGAGTGCTGTAGTGGGATCTTGGCTTACTGCAACCTCTGCCACCTGGGTTCAAGAGATTCTTCTGCCTCAGCTTCCCCAGTAGCTGGGATTACAGGTATGCACCACCATGCCTGGCTAATTTTTGTATTTTTGGTAGAGATGGGGTTTCACCATGTTGGCCAGGCTGGTCTCGAACTCCTGACCTCAACTGATCCGCCTGCCTCGGCCTCCCAAAGTACTGGGCATACAGGCATGAGCCACTGTACCCAGCCAAAAGAGCTGTTTCTTTAACCTGCTGACCCTTTCCTCCAAGCTTGGTGTGCAAAATGTAAAAACCGTTGCTGTTACAGGGACCTAGACCCTTGCCACAGCCCACTGCCTTTGCAGCAGGTGGGGGCCAGCAGGGTGCCCAGATTGCCCCTGGGCTCTGTAGAGCACAGGATGAACATACTCATGAGGTGATTCCCAGGGTTTTTTACTGATTTAGCCCTGGATGATGCTGCATTTCTGTCTTGATGAGGGAGATAAGGTTCAGGCTTCTGGTGTGGTAGGAGTTTGTGGTTTGAGGTTTTGCCCAGCTCTGTGACCGACATTTCATGAGTTCTGTTTTGGGACTGTGGTGTCTGGAGAAGTGCTGTTTCCTGAATATCTCTCACTGTCCTTGGTTATAGTGAAATTGAGCTTTTACATGAAACAAACCTCAAGGCCTTTCATTTGATACAGCAAAAGTTCCATGTCACCCTTGCTATACAGTCAGAGACAGCGAGGACTATTTTTCCTAATTCTGCTTGTATTTACACTAGTTTTATTCTCTCCAGACCTCTTAGGAGCTGTAGGAAGCCAAATCCCAGCAAGATATGAGAGACTGGTCTGTGTTTTCCATGGTGACGGGGCCTTCGCCTTGGTTAAAGGCACATGCGTTGATGGTTTAGGGCACATTTGTCCAACCAGCACTTTGGAAGACCGGGGTGGGTGGATCACCTGAGGTCAGGAGTTCAAGACCAGCCTGGCCAACATGGTGAAACCCCATCACTACCAAAAATACAAAAATTAGCCGGGCGTGGTGGCATGTGCCTGTAATCCCAGCTACTCAGGAGGCTGAGGCAGGAGAATTGCTTGACTCAGGGAGGCGGAGGTTGCAGTGAACTCAGATCGTGCCACTGCACTCCAGCCTGGGTGACAGAGCGAGACTCTGTCTCAAAACAAACAAAAGCCTGTAAACTTTCTAAAAACATTATGAGATTTATGCACAGACCTTTTTTCTTTTTTTCTTCTTTTTTTAAGCTCATCAGCTATCATTCATGTTAGTGTAGTTTATGTGTGGCCCAAGACAATTCTTCCAGTGTGGCCCAGGGAAGCCAAAACATTAGACATCCCTGGTTTAGGGTTTTGTGCAACACTGAACCACAGACGGGACTTGGTGGCAAATGACACGAGCAGGTGGATCCCCGAGCTCCCCCTCTTCTGCTGGGTCAGGGAATAAGCCTCCATTTTCCTGAGCCCCTGACTGGTCAGGTGGGAGCTGGGCACCTGTGGTCAGCTGGCATTTTCCCTCTAGAGTGTTAGAAATTCTTGGCACATCTCTTCTCCTGGAACATTTTACTGGCTGGAATCCCAGCTGCTGTGGATGTGGGCCTGGTGGCTGGGGAGCCTCCTTGTTCAGTTGGCCTGAAGTCTGGAGGTTGGAAAGGGTATCTTAGGGTGCCCTGGGGTGCAGCAGAGCCTGGGCAGCATCCCCGGCTCCCATTCCAGCGCTGTGTCCCACAAAACTCCTTCTAGTCACTTCTGTCTGTGCTGTCTCTTGCTGAGCTTGACGTGCGGTTTGTGTTGTGAGCTCTTCACCCCCTGCTGCGGGTGGAGCCTGAGGGATTGTGGAGGGAGGCTTGTGTCCCCGAGATGCTCAGTGAGCTGTGCCAGAGCCCTTCAGGGCCAAGGGTGACTGAAGGCGTCAGTGTCGGGGGTTTCCCCAGGATCCCTGCCATCGGGCTGGCTTCATTGCCATTGTGGCTAGGGGGTCTGTGGTGAGCTGCGCAGGTCAGGGGTGGACGAGCTGCCCCCTCTGTTGCCATCCCCAGCCCCCTGCTGTCTCCAGAGCTCGGATGCTCCCCTCAGTGGCAGCCAGAGCCCAGGGCTTTGGGCTGATCCTTCATACTGCAGGTGCCTCTGACCATGGGATCAGGCTGTGCGCCGTGGCCTGGCTGTGCCCCCAGCGTGAGCTGCTACCAGTGTGAGCGGAGCAGCCAAGGCAGTCTCTGTGTGGGGTTTGGCCCGTGGGGGCTGCCCCGTGTCCCCAGGTGCTGTGTGACTCTAGGGGCTGGTCATCCCTCTGCCATGATGGGGCCCCTGTTCCACTGCAGGGCTGCCTGCCATTTGCTGTGCGTTCACTGCCCTTTTGGGCTGTGTCTGTGGTTGTGCTGCCTGCACAAAACCATGTGTGAGGCCAGAGAGGAGCCTGCGCCCACCGCCGTCCCTGCCGTCCAGTGTGACGCTTCTGTGTGCAGCCCCAGGCGGCCGCCTCCCTTCCTGGCTCCTCAGCCCAAGCACCAAACGCCTCTGCTGGCCCCGCCGTCGTGGCTTCACAGCACGTCCTTCCTGCAGCTGCTGTCCCTCCTGCCCTGCACCCCTTCCTAGGCCTGCATTTCTCTCTCTTTTACTGATGCGGAGATGATGCCCTCATTCTTCTCTGTATCCATCCTGGGCGTGCCTGTTTTCGGCACAGCTCACAGTGTCAGATGGGGGAGCTCAGGTTTTCTGTGGTGCTTGATGGAGCCGCCGGGGATTGGGGGGTCCGGGGTGCCTGGCTCTCCCAGCATGTGTGTTGGTGGAGACACCGGCTCTTTGAAGCCCACAGGAAGGCTGGACGGGCTGATCAGCAGGAGGCCGGGCAGCTGTCCTGCTGGATCGCAGGCCTTGTGCCCATCAAGACTGCTGGGCTCAGAGGTGTCTCCGCCTGGTCTTGGGTGGGCCGGTGGGGAAGGGAGCCCCCTGCAGACCTGGCTGGTGGTCCTGGGGAGCCCCTCTGACTCTGGTAGGAAGGAACTGGCCCAGGCCAGGCTTGGGTCTGAGTTCCCAGGCAGAGTTCCCGGTCCTGTGTGTGTCCTCGTGGGTAAGCTCCCTCTCCCCCTCATCTTCTAGGGTAAGCAGGAGGAGAATGACGTGGTGGAGAAGCTGAACCTCTTCTTGGATCTGCTGCAGTCGTATAAGGTGAGTCTTGGCTGCTCCTCGGTTGGGGGCAGAGCTTTCGGGAATGATCTTAGGATCTTTCAAGGGTTTAACTCCTGGGGGATGAGAGGAGCTGAGGTCAGGACTGCAGCGGGAGATGGGACCTTCCGTCTCTCGGGTGTGCTGCCCTCAGCTGGCTCCGCAGGGCCCTGGTGCGGGCTTCGGGGGCCAAGGCCGAATGCCTCCCCTGACCCTGCAAGACCTGTGTGAGTGGCACGAGAAGGGTGTGCTGCACAAGTACCAGCAAGCCTTGCACAAATACAGCCTGATGTAGAGGCAGATGATGAGCGCTGCCGTGCAGAACCACGAGCCGGAGTCCTTCTGAAGGACTGGCTTCCTCATCCCACAGGGGCGGGCAGGCAGGAGAAGGTCCCCAGCCTGTGCTTGGAATCTGCTCCATTCAGACTCAGCGTCTGAGGCCAGAAGGGTCTGGGGGCCATGCTTTAGGCCCACACCTGGTATAGGCAGTAGGTAGCCACAGGGAAGATCACACTTCCTCACAGCGGCATGTTCTCTGTGGGGGCTGTCTGAGCAGCTCAGTTCCTGACCCACAGGTACCTGCAGCCTCCACGGCCTTCCCCGCTGGCTTGGCCAAGGCCTTTCACCCGCAGACGGTTACCAGTGGCTCGAATGCCTGGGAAGGAATGCACTTCCACGCTGGCTCTGGAAGTAGCACGCATCTCCCGGGCCCTGACTCAGGAGACGGTGCGTGTCTCTCGGGGGCCCCGACTCAGCAGACAGTGCACATCTCCCGGGGCCCCAACTCAGCAGTCAGTGGGAGTCTCCTGGGGCCCTGACTCAGGAGATAGTGCGTGTCCCTTGGGGCCCCTGACTCAGCAGGCAGCTTGCATCTCCCTGGGCCCCCAACTCAGCAGGCAGCGCGTGTCTCCCAGGGCCCCCGACTCAGGAGGCAGTGCGCGTCTCCCGGGGCCCCAACTCAGCAGACAGTGTGTGTCTTCTGGGGCCCCCGACTCAGGAGGCAGTGCACGTCTCCCAGGCCCCGACTCGAGGCAGTGCACGTCTCTCGGGGCCCCTGACTCACCAGGGAGTGCGCGTCTCCCAGGGCCCCCAACTCAGGAGGCAGTGTGTGTCTCCTGGGGCCCCCGTCTCAAGAGGCAGTGCACATCTCCCGGGGCCCCCGACTTAGGAGGCAGCACGTGTCTCTCAGGGCCCCTGACTGCATGACTTTCACCGTCAGCCTCCTCAGCATGTCATACAGGACGCAGGTGAACAGGAGTTTCTGCTCGGCTCTAGGAATCAGCCCTGACACTGTGGTCAGTGTCATCCCAGGGAGCTGAGCTTGGCTGCTGCGTGGGGGCCTGTCCTGGGATATCCTGGGAGCTCTGTGGGAAAATGAGGAGCTCCCAAGCCCAGAGCTGCAAAGCGAGGACCGGATCTTCCCAAGAGCCCTGAGCGGGTGGACAGAGCGGCAGCTTCCCAGTCCCATTGGGACGCAGCAGCTTCCTGGGGCACACCGTGTCTCTTCCTTCTTCAGGTCCTGGGCTCCTGTCTGTGTCCTGAGCAATCTGCTCAGAAGCCAGACAGAAGTCCTAGGAAGAGGGACTCACGCAGCTTCGGGCCTGCCTGCTGTCATTTCCCTGGGCCCAGCGTGACTGGGACTCAGAGGAGTCACGCAGACCCAGTGGTACAGGCTGGGGTGGGGAACCTGGGCTCTGCCCACTGTGTAGCCTCGCCCTGTGTGTGCTGTGTTCACAGAGGCAGAGGCCTCTGCTCCCAGCCCACCCTGTAGCCACACTGCTGGTATGAGGTGGAGCTCACGCCTGCTGCACAAAGTCCTGACATGGTCAAAGCAGGTGCCGAGGCAAAGCCAGGGCTGCTGGCATTTACTGGGTCTGGGGGCGCCGAGCTCTGGGGCCCTCTTCACCTTGGTGGGCTCTCAGGGGTGCTGGCCTGGGTCCTTATGAGGAGCCCCTGACGTAACCCTGTTCTCGTCAGGCATTCCCTGAGCCATCTCCAGCATTACTTCCTCCCCCGGCCCAGGTTCTGACCAGCTGCCCTCTGTGTCCACAGGAGCGGGACGGCATGCGGGCCATCCTGGGCTCCTGTGACAGCGAGCTGACCCCAGCCGAGTACTCGCCCCAGCTGATCTGGCACATGTGGGAGGCCGAGGACGAGGTGCAGAAGGTGCACAGCCACAGCACCAAGATGGAGGTGAGGAGCCGTGGGCATGGGGCTCATGTCACCAGGCGGGGTCTTCTCCCTGGTGGGCCTTGGCAGAGCCCGGAGGGTGGAGGTCTGGGCCATGGCCTCCCCAGTTCCTCGCTGGCAGGTGTCCATCGAGGAGGGCATCCATGGGCTGCTTCCTCTGCACGTGGATCCGAGTTAATTATCACAGTAGCACCTGCAGCATTCTCAGCTGTCAGGGCGTCCCAGGTGACCCCAGCCTGCAGGCGGGTGACAGAGGGACAGTGCTCCTTTGATGGTTAGGGATGCCTTCAGGATGCCTGTCAAAGGGCCACTCAAGGTCCTGCCCCTGTGAGGGGCATCTGCCAAGGATGTGTGTGTACCAAGACCTGGTCTCCGGGTACTCAGAGTTGGTGCCAGTGCTCTGGTTCCCACCACTGGGAAGGCTCTGTTGGGGCCTGATGGGCAGGGCCTGAGGCGCAGGGGTACCCAGCTGGCTACAGAACTGGAAGAGGGGTTCCTCCTTCCTACGGCTTCCAGCCTGCATCCCTCTCCCGGCTCCAGTGTCCTCCCAGGATAGGTGGTGTCAGCCTTGGCTTCTGCCTTTTCCCTGGCCCATGGGCCACCGTGATGCTCTGTGCCTTTGTCTAGCCCCAAGCAGCTCTCACCTGTGCAGGGGGAGGAAGCAGGTGGGCATTGCCAGGCCTGGGTGGAGGCCATGTCCACACTCCCTGGGCCAGGGGCTCCCAGCACACTCTTCCCAGCCCAGGGTCGAAGGGCCCATGTTCCCTCGGGATTTGCATGGAGAACATGGGCACAGCGCAGCCCTGCCTGGATGTGGTGGGATATGTGCCAGGGTCTTCTGGCCTTGTTGGCACATGCCACCACAGGGTGACTTGCTGTTCAGCTCTGCCCGGCCCTGTATCTGATCGCTCAGCCTCACTGTCACCGTGACTTATGTGGTATGGGTGCTGTTGTGACTTGAATTTTGCTCATGAGGAAACTGAGGCCCAGGAGGAGGTCAAGGGACATGCTCAGGTCAGTGAGCTGGCGTGTGACGCCACCAGGCCACCTCTTGGAGGGTCTGGGCCTGCAGTTTCTGCTGCCACAGCCGAGCTCTATGAACTCCTTGGTCTCAGGGCTCACTCTGTCCAGGTTGGGCCTTGATGGTAGAGACTGGTGAGATGGAGATACAGATGAAGGCCTTGGTGTGGCCTGTTGCCCTGTCCTAGGCTGCTGTGTCCATTTCTCATTCAGCCAGTGACCAGCTGTAAGAAGACTTGGGTCCGCCAGGGGTGAGCCAGGCTCACAGGCGTGATGACAGCCACCTTCCAGCCAGGCTGCTAAGCACACACAGCAGGCCAGGCCCTGTGCCAGGGGATGTCTGACAGAGCCTCTGGGCCCTGGAGCTGAGCTTCTGAGTAGGGGAGACATTTAACGAGCAAAGATAAATAACATGGAGGTTAGGAGGTGCTGAATTTATGGAGAAAGGATTGTAATGGAGGGTCTCAGAGAGCTGTGCTGCATGGCTGTTCAAGGAGGATGGGAGGAGGTCACCAAACCATCTAGAATGTTGCTTGGCACATGGTTCAGTGGTTTAGAGGGGTCGCGGGCACAGAGGCTCATGCATTGGGGATGGCGTGTGGCGAGAATGAAAGGTCCCAGCGCAGGAGGCCCCAGGCCCAGGGGCCCGAATGCACTGGCTACACCTTGCTCGCACGGAGGCCACGCCAAAGGGCCCCAGGGCTATGCTGTGTCGTCGCCTGTGAGCCCTTACCACCACACTTGACAAGAATGAACCCTGAACTCTGATCAGTGCTGGTGGCATTCAAGCCTGCTCCAGCCCCTCTGGGCCCAAGTCTCCATGTGTGAAGCCACCCTCAAGACACTTGTACTACCCCCTGCTGTGGTCTTCTGATGCCCGGCCCCTGCTGTCTGTCCTTTCTGTGTCCAGTGGCCCCCGGTGTGCAGGGCCTTCTGCTCAGGGCCTAGACTTTCAGTCCTCATGGGAAAGGTTAGGTCTGGCTGTATGTGGGAGCTGTCGTAAACCTTAGTGCATTAATAGCCATCTCATTACAACACCCTTGGCTCCGAGTGAAGCATTAACGACGAAAGATTTGCGGGGAGGCTCTCTGACCCCTTCTGCTGTCCCCGGTGTTTTTCACGCTCAGTGATTTCTCCAGCCTATGTTTGTCCTCTGCACTCTGAATGTCTTGTCACGGGCCTGGCCGTGAGCACACCTAGTGTCATGAGTTCTGGTGTTTCGTGTGTTGAGGCGATCAAGGCTGTCAGGGACCTCAGCACTCATTGACCAGATGCTGGCACTGTTTGGGCACCTTGCTTGCACCTTGCCAGGCAGCTTGGAGCCTCGGCCCTCACCCTGCTAGTGGGATGTACACTGGGGACTCTTCCCCTCCTTTCCCATGGTGGGGTGTGCGGGCAGCTTATTCCCCTTCCTGTCCGTCCCCTGGAGTTTCAGGAAATTGGGCACATGGAGAGTTGGGTCCATTGGGTCTAGAGCAGGGTCGGATGCCACCAGCACTGACCAGTCCTTGTGCCAAGGCTGTCGCCGTACTCACTATGAGAGTTCACATGGCTGGTCCTCCCCTGAGCCCTTATAGCCACCTCTGCCCATTCCCCTGGGTGCCTTCTGGAAGCAGGCCAGCACCCGCAGGCTCCTCCCCAGACCCCTCCTCTCTAGCCCATGTCTGTGTTGATGGAGACAGCCATGGTCTCCACTGCTGGTGCAGATCCCAGTGAGGTCTTCTGGGCTGCTCCCTGATCCTGTGCAGGTGCCACCACCCTCTGAGGCCTGTGGGGCAGCCACCACCACACTC